CTGGAAAATGCCGTAGCTTACATTCAATTCCATGATTTATTTATTCGTAGTTTTTTTTTGCAATATAGAAAAGAGGTGTGTGAAAAAAGAGAAAGGGATAGAGAGAGAGAGAGAAAGAGAGAGAGAGAGAGAGGGAGAGAAACAGAGCAATTTTTAATAAAACAGATTTTATGGAAGAGAAACTAGTTCGTAAAAGTAAATTTGATCACACAGTGATAAAATTAATAAAATGCGATATTAAATTTTACAGACGATAACGACACACAGTCTGTGATCAAAGTATGTTATATAAGCTAAAACTATGCTCAATTACTTTTAACTTTTGCTCACATTAATTAATTCATACAAAAGAACAGTTTGATTGAAACATATGTAGCACATGTTAGAAAACTGCGAGTTCACGTATTAAGTTCTTTGTTACATACAATCTAAAAAAAAATCAGGATTTTCCGTATTTGCCATATATCACGTGGAACGGTTTATAAAATATTTTTCAGAGCAAAAATTAAGTTAGCGCACGTTCCGAAATTTATATACCATTGCGATTTTTGCAGGTATATTATGTCATTTTGACGAGACTGCGTTCCATGACCAGAATGCATATTGATCTTCGCCCGCTTGTCGTCCTCGGCGACGGCTAGTTCCCAAGTATTTTGCATCTTATTAACCGAAGCACCATGCCAATATCGTGAACTTTCGTGCGAACTTGAACGAATGTCGGTCCCTCTCTGAACGTTACGCGCGTCAAATACGCCGCGTCTGAGAGTGATCAAAAAAGTTTCAGAACTCGAACGCGATAAGCATGATGATCACGTTATTTGCATATTTTCTGCACGGCGAAGGAAACAAGCCTCGGCCAGAAAAATTCAACCAACTATCTCTACATATTTAGATAAATACAGTCGATATAAGCTATAAACGAGACGTGGCACGGCGCTTTTAAAATTGCTAAATTTGCAATATCAGGAATAGTAATAAAAAATATCAAAACGCTTTATTCTTTTTTTGCTTCTTGTTATTATCAAATATTTATGTAAAAGCCATATTTTTACTAAATTTGACTAAATTTACAAAGCTTTGTCATGAAATATCGAATCTCTTTTTATTTCGCAACAAAAAGTCTGCAAATACTAAATATATTCAATAATTGTTTTGAACGTAATGTGTACATAGGATTTTTTTATCAGTCAAGGGAGCATTAAATTATTTGACACATTGACCCGACAAATCTGCAGCAATTACTTCTTCAAAGCTGGAATCGGATTACGAATGGCGACTGTGCAAACAGCGGCTTTGTCATAACTTATGTAGGATACTATTGCATTTGTGTGCTCTTTCAGAGCGATTAAATTCTCATTGTAACTAACGAGGACGACTCAGTAGTGTTTCCATACGACAACAGCGGCACGATGTAGAGATTTCTGAAGTGCCAATTAGTACTTTGCAGTATTTCAAGTGCAAATACGTACAAGTGTTATTATTTGTTATCATAACTGACAACTTAATACAAGGCTTTACGAGATTATGTCTCCGTGAGAATAATGTTTTCCTTTTAGAAATCTTTACGCTATGAAGCTGAAACCGTGATAATGAGCGTACAAAATAGTCTTTCATAACTTTATACGGTATATACAAACTTATTTAAATTAAATAAATTATTTCAACAACATCGGTAAAAGTAAAATAGCTTTATTGTTCACTGTACACCGCGTCGATTTAAGTATCCGCTGAACTTTTTGATGCAACGAATAATTTAATCATTTTTTATAACTTGTACACAAAAGCCCAGGAATGTCGAAGTTGGAAGTTCCGACGATATCTGCTAAGAATTAAGGTATGACAAAGTTGCAGGGCGATACTTTGACAATTACCGCGTAGAAGAACAATAAGCTTTTTCCCAACTACTTCTTCGTAATTCACAGCGCGAATTTTCGGCTTAACGAAGCGAACGCGCGCCGCGCGTAGATCGATTAGAATGTACATCGAGATGAAGCTCGTCTTGCTCGCTCGTGTATCCAAACCGCGGTTACAATTTTACGGCTACGCTCGCTACATATTCATAGCACGCTGTCGGGATCGGCTCGGTGGGAAGACCGTTCCGGAAGTTGCCGCGGCGCGTATTCGGGTCAACTGCAAATAACGAATGTCGCCAAAAATCAGCGTGATTTATGGTGAATCCGATCGCGTTTTCCGGCCGTCGCCGGCAAGTACAAATCGAATACTCCTATAGCCGGGAGGGAGTCGAACTTATGTAAAATAGCCGCGGTCGCGGCGCGGCGCGTCCGCCGCGCGACTCGACTCGGGACATGCCACGAGATGATTAATCGCGTTGTCGGCCGCGACGCGATTTAAAAGTAAAATCATTTATTCGATATGGGACGGCGATGACAACCGGTAATAGCCTGCATTACGCGTAATGACAAACGGCGATGCGCCGCAACGATATGGAAAGTGGGTCACCACGTGCGGGGTCCCCCTTTCACCCCGGCGTCATAAAGGCGTCCCAGGACACCCCGAGCGCCTTTGGCGACCGTCCTACCGGAAAATTTGCTCGCTCAGACGCCGACAAATGTACCTCCTCTGTCCTGTCCCCGGCGCGACAGCGGGGATACGTAAGTACGGCTGGAATAAATTCGCGAGAAAAAAAAGGTAAGAGGGGAAAGAGAAGGAGGAAGGACGTACGACCGATCCGGTACGATATCACTATCGCCCGTAAGGCACCCGCATTCTCTCTTCCCTCTAAGACGCCGAGCGGGCGTGCAAGCTGTTCGCCTAGAAAATTTGCATCCTCGAGACGTTTCAGCGCGGCTGCATGCTCGCGCCCGTATCGTCTTTGAAATTAGATATCCGCATCGCGCCGCAAATTCGATGACGAACGCGAGGATTCTCACAAATCAAGTTGAAGAGAAATATCGCGAGGAGAAAAATTGCAATGAATATTAAATAAAAATTGAAAATGTGTCATCGTCTATTTTTTTTTCATACCTATTTACTTTTTCATCCTTATATCGTATTCCCCGAAAGATCTCGTGCTCCGCGATAAATGTAAAGTAAACTCTAGTTGTCGTTTGTTAAGTATCATTTCCAAGACGAGCATCGAAGTTCATTACGGGACGGTAACATTAATCACGCGATCGATCGGCGGTGTCCTTGAAAATTCCCGGCGGAAAATTCATGTGTCTTGGTGTATCCTCGTCCGCCTTTTTCCCAGCGGTTAAACGACTCGCGGTGAACTTTCTCCTTCGTGGAGTAAGTTCTCGAGAAGCTCGTTTCAGTCCCGGGCCGCCGGACGACGACGCGGCGTTCGGACAGGCGTGAAAGGATTAAAAGAGCGAAATAATGTCGGCGTACAATGGGGCTCCCCTTGCATCCCACCACATAAAGAAGAACTCTCCGCGACGGCGGAATTCGAGGCAGTCTTCGTATAATCTAAAGCAGGGTTTCCCAAATTGCTAGTTAGCTACAGGACGTTGTTCCTCAGTCTTAAATTCGGGCGTTCGTAAAGCATTATTGAAATTAAAAAAACGTTTCTCTTCTCACAAGACTGCAGCTTAAGTCATAATTCAATATCACTCTTCCAAGAATTATACTATGAGTTTTTTTTTAAATATTATTAATTTTTATTTTCCGACAATTTCATATTTTTTTTGCGATATAATCTCTTAACTCAAAACCAGATATATTTGAAAAAATCATTTCTTATTTACTTTTAATTTCGGAAACTGATCGAGAGCGAGAATCGCGAACCTATACGCGCTACTCTGTAACTCGCAGGGGCGAAAACGAGATGACCGAGAAGTTCTCCGCTTGAAGAAGAAGAGAAGGCGGAGGAAACCAGTTTCGGGTGATATATCTTCGCGGTCTCGCCTCGACGAGCCTCCCCTAAACGCCCGAGGAGGCGACGTGCAGTAAAAAGAGCGCAGGGGTGGCGCGAGCGCGCGCGCGCGCTCGCACGCTTCCACCGGTTTTTGTCCGCGCTGCGGAACTCCCGTTAATCCCTCGGAGTTTGCCTCCGAAACCGGCTGGAGGAGCTTCTTTCGGCGACTTGGGCCACTCCCCAAGGTAGGGGACGAAGGGTGGGTCGGGGGAGAGGGAGACTTTCCGACTAACCGCGACTCGCTGGATGCGAGAGTGGCGAAAGAGGCGCAACGACGCAAAATAAACTACCTCCACGTCGCATAATACACGGCGTCACCCCTGGAGCCGCCCGCCCCGAGTCACCCCAACGCCGCACCGCCACCGCAACCTCCCCCTTCCTACGCGCGCCACGGCTCTCTTGTAACACGGTCGTCGCACCTCAAATACAACGCGGGGCTGCTTCTTCCTGCTTCGCGGACTTAAAACAAGTCGCGAGTGTCGTCGGATTCAGACTTAATTAAGTTTATATTTCAGTTTCGATGGGTGCAGTTTGCACTCGTCTGCCGCCCCCGACGCGACACACGCTACTCGTTACTCATTTCCGGCACGATGGCGCATCTAGATTTAATATCGCGGAAATCTCACTGGCTCGTGCCCGTCGATCCCTGAGTAAAAACGACCTGTGAAATTATTTCGCGCTCGCTCTATCTCAAAACTCAATTTAAACTCATGCATATGTATGATAACTGCTGATTATTTTCTGTTATTTTTGTATTCCGACGTACCGGTTCGTTGTGAGTTTTCAGAGAAGTCTAATTACACAGATATTTTAAATTGAAAATAAAAATGAAATTCTCTCAAAAAGGTAAACAGATAACAAAACTTTGTTTTTCTGTTGACCTCTAGTAGAAATATCATCTGAAGTGTCTTTCCTAAGAAGTTCAATGAAAATTGGAAAGTAATAAGAAACGACAATTTCGATACTTTATTGAAGAAAAACATTGCTCGTTTAAATTTATTGAAGAAATTTTAAGAAAAAGGTAACTATAAGTAAAAGATGAATTTTGTTCGTCGTTTTCGCACTAAAGTGTAATTATTTCAAACGTAAATTGCTAATGCAATGTTATATTGTCGATACTCACATTGGACGTCGAGCAGAATGCTGGCGTTCATCGGTATCATCAGCGTAATGTGGCGCGCGACACAAACGATCGTGGCGTTGTGATGTCCCCTCAAGACCTTTAGGTGAGCCCCGCTGCGCCTGCCGGATGTTGAGGGCAACACGGTGAGGTTGTCTGGCGGTTGTTCCGGGCCATCTAAAGTGGCTTGAGACAAGGTCATGCCCCACGCCAAGATGGGCGGTGGGTTTCCACCCTCGGCCGCGCACTCGAGAGTGAGCTCCGAGCCCTCCTTCACTGGCACAAACTGGTTTCCGGGATCCAGCCGGCGGCCATCTATCAGCAGATACGTCCCACGAGGTGCCTCTGTAACAAGGAACCATGCGATAACCGCTTCAATTAGTGACCTCGTAACGTTGAAAAATCTGGTCGGACGCGAGCGGTTATTGCGGCGCGGGCAAAGGAAACGATTCGATGGTATCTGAAAATCTCTGAAACAGAACGCGTTTAACACTCACACGAATTGATTGCCCATAGTGGTCACTAGTGGTTGGCGCTATCGAAATTTTTTTTAAAACGCTTGTAAAAAATAAATACCATTTGATAAAATTTTGAATAGCTAGATAACAACGTAAAATAAAAGTTCGTCGCATCTATATGAGAATAAAATCTTATTTAACCGTTTTACACTATTTCATCGTTATTTTTCTAATAATGAAAAGTTTATTATGGCGTACACAGTAATAAGCCGGGCAAAAATGGCTAGGCACACAATGTGTTAATAAATGAAGTAACCGTATGCAAAAAAGGGATGCATGTTTTACTTAGATATAAGAACTTTTCAAGAACGAGGAAAATATTTTATATTTACATTTCAAAATGCGATAATAAATACGTAACACAAGATCTTCCCGCAGTCATTTTATAATCAAGCAACTTTCTTGTCGCTTTCTCGGGCTATCGTAAAGTATACATTACAAGCATGTAGTATGAGATGCGGCGTTAGCGTCTCAGACGAGCAATTTAGAGGCGAATGCAATGTCGCATTTAATCAGATTTACCAAACGCGCGCGCGCGGAATAGTTTTTAGTCTCAGACGTGCTATCGTTGCTCGGTGTACGACGTAAATTAAAGTCGTCCGTACGGCGGACTTTTTACGCGACGCCGCGACGCAGCGAGGGGTAGAAAGCATAACGTATGAGAGCCGCAATTTACAGAGCGGCGTAGCGCGCTGCGAAACTGGCCGGTTTTACGACAACGTCGGTAGAGTGTAACTTCCGCCGGTACGGCGTCTCCTTTTCTCATTTTGCGACGCGGTTTAATCGCTGGCGCGAATCTCGCGAGTCCCACGGGAGATTAGCCCTGGTACCATCTCCTCGAAGCTCTCTTTAATTTTCGCCAACTTTCAATTGGCCAGGTTGGGCTAACAACTGATTAAGCCCAGCCTGGCAACTCGGAGTCGGCTTTGAAAACAAAAACAAAAAAAAAGGGAGCAGCTCGCCGTTCTACGCCCGGCCGCGCTTTTCGCTTCGTAAGAGAGGTAATCCGGCCGTTTGTCTACGTCGAATCTCCTAGGAAACCCGCGAGATGCTTTAATGTACTTGAAACTCGGGTTTTTTATCCCCCTTTTCCCCCCTTCCTTTTACGCTCTGCCCTCTCGACTCTTAATGCGCCCGGAACTTATGCGTAATTAAAATCTAACGATGCAAATCGTCCGGGTATCCGGGGTATTCTCGCGAGAGGGGTAAACACTCTAAAGTAGACGTCGGGTAAATTCGGTTATAACTTAACGTCTCCCGTCCGCGCTCCGTTCATTTGGGACCCGTTGTTATCCGTTTCGATTTTTTGTTGCAAGCTAGCTCCCGTAGAACCGCAGATTGCGGGTTTATCGTCCATTGAGATATCGGTAGTAAATTGTAAACCTGCAGGGAGAGAGAACATCCTGAGAAGCTATTTAACGCCATTTAAACCTACGATAAATGCTTGTACTTGAACGATATGCTTTGAGGAAAGTTGCAACAGCGATTTATATACGGTCCAAGTTAAATTACAAGGGGTAACGCGGTGAGTAATTCTTATTCGACGGAGGCGAACGTAAGGGAACGAGGCGAACCGACGTGCTGCGGTGGATTGCTTTTCGACGTGAGAATCGAAAATTCGTAAAAGTCAGGTCTGTCTCATATAAACTGGCGACGCGCGGTGCGCGCGGTGCCAATCTCTCCCAGTTCCAAGTTGACTTCTCCGCCATACTCCCGCCGCGCTTCGATAAGATCTAGTCACGTTCATTAAATTTTCTCGTACTGTCGGCCTTGCCAAGACGGATGGTAGGGACGTTCTCGAAATAGGTCGCTGAATAAGAGGAAACGTGCAAAGCTTTCTAAAGACAGAAATTGTAATTGTATCTCCGGTATGATTTAATGTAATAAAATATAGCGCGGGCAGCACCTGCAGCACCGAGTAAAACGGCGCAGGCATGACGGAAAATTTAATAATACCATGAGATTTAATAATACGGCCGAGGCTGTGTTCTTTTTCAATTTGTTAACTAAATATATAAAATTAATAGCAAGCACACTGAGGCGCATCGTATTTTTTCGTATCTATACTTCATTTAATTTTATACATTTTACTCCGATTCTTTTTTTTTTTTACATTTGTGATACGCAGTAAATACAAGAAATTTCTTTATTTGGACTTACGTGGCACTAACAATCTAGTAACAAGTCAGAAACGTCGGATGAGCAACAATGAAAATTAAATGGATTCGATACTTGTTAAGCGTATTACAATATTATCAGAAGCTTAGCATGTTCATCACAGTGTAATGAGCTCCGTTTATTGCGTGATGTATAATCTCTCTCTTTTTCTCTGTAATTCAATAAAAATTATTGAATTGTATTATATTTTTATTTACTATCATATTTTGTTTATCTTGCATATTAATGTGTTCAATATCAATAACTTTTTAGCAAATTTAAATAAAACTTGCGAAATAAGTAAATTGCGATAATAAGAAAAAAAATATATAGTAACAGAATGTACTGTTTGTTAATAATTTTATGATTATCAATCTTAGCATTAGAAAATGGTTACTTACTGCGAAGGAGTGTACTGTAATTGTTTTTTTTTACAATATCGGAAGTACTTTTAACAAATAAGATTTTTTCAAAGCATTATTTAAAACACTTCTGTTAACGTGACAACAAATGCTTTAATCCTAATTAAAAATCGTACGGCTTTAGAAAAATTCTTCACGTAACAACGAGAAGATTGTGTCAGGTCCATATTATCTAGGTAGTAACATGAAGTCCCGAAAACGTATCAAGAATCTCGGAAAATCCGAAGGTACTTTGCATACACTTTTCGCCTCAATCTTCGCTCTAAAAATCGCGGAGCCGACTCCTTGGAAAGATTCCAGAACCATGTAACGCGATCGCGAATCGAGAAGAGAAAAAGGTTTGGGAAGAGAAGAAAGGTCCTTGCGCGCGCCGTTCTGCGAATACGGTTATATGTTCCCCTATGAACGTATGCTGCTCCATGGGCATTGAAAGATTGTAAAATCGAATCTTACTGAAAATATGAAATTCTCTCTCCGTAACAGTAAAGTACGGCATTTCGTTCCGCATCTGCATAAATTTGTGTTTTAATACGTGCGATATTAGATATATCTTAATTATCATATTAATGTGGAAAGATTTAACCGTGGCCGTCCCGAAATGTGAAATACATTGTTAAATGTGAACATATTCTCTTTGTCAGAATGAGAAAAATAAATGGCGTTTATATACACCATTACATCTTCATATTTATGTATTATATAATGCAATACTTTTCTTTGGAGAGAATTACTGTTATTATTTTTGAAATGCTATTGATGTTTTAACAATAAAACCATGTTTCAGAAAAAAATGATATTTATATCTTTCTAAAAAATATGTAGATTAAACAAGTGTAATTCAAGATTTTGATAAAATAGCGTTATTGTATTTGTTGCCGTGTTGTTTGTAAGTTAGTAGTTAAGTTTGTTAGTTATGTTTTACTTATTTGCACAATAAAGATTAAAGGTTTAGATTCGGACTCTCGGGCAAAATATCGCGGCAAGGGGGTATTAGCATGGACAGAGATATTTTTGCTCGCTCGAAACGAGGTGAAAAGGGTTTAATCCTTTCCCAACGTGTTCGAAGGTTGAGCATATGCACCGTATAAAATGAAAAGATGAGAAAAAAATTTAAGCCGCATTTGACCCAACAACGTTTGCGTCGATCTGAATCACGTAATTAAACTTTTTTACGATAGCGGCAATAAAATCGCATCGCGTGGATCGTTAATGACACTTTCCCGGAATATTACAGGAGATATATTTATACAATCATATATTTATACATCTATATTGTATTCTATTAAAAAAAAATTTCATAAACCACAATATGAGCGCTTAAGAGAGCTTTCATGAGATTCATTAACGTTCAAATTCAGTGCGAGCCAGAATCTAAACGACTCTAGGTTTGATACAAATTTTGCAATTTAGATGTGGGATACCTAAGCTGCAACAATATAAGGCAAATTTACGCTTATAAGGAGTAGTAAATATGACCTTTGAAAAATTTCTAGTTGACGATGCGCTTTAATTTTCACGAAATGATTGCGTAATCCACAATCTTGGAAAGCTTCCAAAGATCCACGTTGCGCACGTTGGCCGTCACTGCGAAAAGGGGGCGTCTGAATGGAATCTCAGAAAGAAATTTTCCTCGGGTCGTCGCGTCGGAGGGTTACGCCCAACGCCACGGTGGATTTAGAAAACGTACGAGTCGCACTGAAACTCATATCAACGTTCCGAGAGTGCTCCGGACGTGCGTGGGCGGAGAGGAACGAAGGGATCCACAGCAGGTGTTAATACGGAAACATAACGCCAGAAACATTCCCAAGACGCAGATGGAAACGCATTCGTAGCACATGGTGCCGTACATATGCCCCAGGAGGATCTCAGTTCGCCTGTAGTTCGTAAAATTTCATAATATCCCGAGCGCGCGTCCTTCGTCCTGCTTTGAGATCAGAAAGAAAGTCGTGTGTGAGGAAAGCAAACTAACTGCTCGGTGTATATGATACAATACTGTGCTTGCAGACTATTATCCGCACATGAAGATTGTATAATAACACTACAACGTGTTGTCCGCAGTGAAGTTATTTGTGATGTTATATTTGCAGCAGCAAATAGATAAACGTTACACTTTTATAAGAGTTGTAAAGCTCTCTTGATTTAATTACAGATCTATTGCATTGTGCATATAATATTATATTATTATATCATATACAGGTAATATTAGATAATAGTATTATAGCTATCAATTGAACGTTAAAATTGATGA